TTTAAACCACTGGCTAGTTTTTATGAATCAAAGTGTAATTCCCAAGCTTTGGCTATATTTCTCAGTACTAGAGCACTCTCTCTAGTGTGCCTTTAGCAGCTTTCCAGACATTCAACACAGGATTAAATGATAGTAGTTACAATGATCAATAGGTTAAGACCGGTACAATCACTCTTGCCGCTAATGACCTCTGTAGTAATGGGTAATAAAGTGTGGGCTATAATAGCCTCTCGCTGCTGCTGCATGCCCTTTGAATCCTAGTATTACTAGGGACTAGTTACATGAAGGAGTTGGACATTGGAAGTTAAGAGAGTGGCTATATAGCCCATAATTCTTAATCTGCAGTGTGTGTTCACACGCATACACATGCACACCTCACAGTAGTTTCTGGTCCATTTGAGTGTGTTTGTTTAAAGCCTTAAGTACATTATCATCTTGAGCTCCTGCAATAGGTTCGGTGCTAAATCTCTTATCTGTTGCAACTTTGCAGTAAGGACATATCGCTGTTGGACATTCTAGATGCTAACTTGTTAGCTGAAACCACATTTTTACTGTCAAGAATAGCTAGTTGTGCCAAGCTGCCTTCCACTAAAGAATATGGATTAATTCATGCCACTGTGAAGGATTTCTGTCACCTTTCCCTGTTGAGCTAAATTTTGTCCTTTGTCAATTACGTGAAATTCTGATGTTTTTGATGATGATATGTAGGAGTTACATAGCACTACAGAGTTTTCAGAATCCTTCCCATAATCCCTGCTACAGACCTGTAAGATAAACCAATATTGCCATCCCCACCTATAAATGTCTCTTGCCCTGAAAACCATACAGGTTGCCATACATCAGCTGTGACTTGACGGCACTTTCCACCAGATATTGCAGATCTGTAAAGAAAGATGTGTAAAGAAAACCACCTGCTAAAATCTCACCTTTGCCGTGAACTGGCTGGGTGGACTTAGGCAAGCCAGTATTGGTTGGACCATTGAGCCAATCGTAGACCATGGATGTACATTCTATCGCTATCCTATTGAGCTTCAAAAGCACTGTTCGTCTGCTGTCTGTGTAGGGTTGCCAGCTCCAGGTTGGGAAATACCTGGAGATTTTGGGAGTGAAGGCTGAGGAGGGCGGGGTTTGGGAAGTGGAGGGACTTCAGTGGGGTATAATGCCATAGAGTCCTCCTTCCAAAGTGGCCATTTTCTCCAGCTGAACTGATCTCTGTCACCTGGAGATCAGTTGTAATAGCAGGAGATCTCCAACCACCACCTGGAAGCTGACAACCCTATATCTGTGTCACAAAGCCAAACTATGCATGAAGGGTACTAACATGATTATTCTGGGTGTTTTTACTGCCTCCCCACCAAAAACAAATGGGAAGTGTGAAAATTCGTTATGTGGAGTGGGGGGACTGTGGGAAGAGGGTAAAGGGACTGCTGAGCCTTTCCCCTTCATGTCCTTGGTCCGTTCAAAACTCTTCCATTCCCTGCTGGGAACTGTTCTCTCTGCAGAGAAAAGTTATAGAGGCAAATTTGTCTCTCGGAGGTCCCTGCCACACAGCAGGGAAAACACCGTCCAAAGTGCGGCTAATTAGAGCCGCACCAAAATAGAGACACCGCGGCGGGATCCCATGGATCCCCTGAGCCGCGGCACCGTTGCTCCCCGGCACGATCAGATGCCGGGGAGGAAGACACGGTCAGGAGGGGGAGGCTGCCGAACTGCGCATGTGTGAGCATGTGCAGTTCGGCCAGGAGCCGGGGATGCACCGGCGGAAGGACGTGCCGGTGATCCCACGGCCGGCCTTGATGCGGACTTCCCGGATGAACCACCTCGGTAGGTGGTTCATTTTTGCTGCGGGGTTTTGGGTGGAAGGACTGGATCGGGAATGGGCGCGCAACGCTTCCCAGATGTTGCTGTGGGATCGCGTCCGTTTGCTGCGGCCCCGATCCGGCCCTCTCCCGGCCCAAAACCTCTCGTGACCGGGGCCTTACGTTGCAGGTGGAAAGCAGCTACAAGGGTGGGGGATGACTACAGTTGCCAAGTGGCAAGTCAAGTGGCATCTCTCTCTTGCTCACCCATACACGCATATGATATGGTGCTTTTAACCGTATGGGATGAGGGTAGGGAGCAATTTGAAGCAGGTCTACTCAGAATTAAGTCCAGTTCAGTCAATTGGGCTTACTACCAGGAAAATATCCTCAGGATTCTGACCTGTGAGAGACTATTGCTGTTACCACCTCTGTACCAATCGTAGAGGAGGGACTATGCAGTTTTAAGCACTACAGCCTGGTTCTTGGTTGTCTGAATGTATGGTATTCGAAGGGAATATTGCAATTTCTCAAATATACACACACACTCAAGAACTGGAGTCTTTAGAATATATACATATTTATATAAATATTTTATATTTTTACATCTATAAATCAGTTGGTGCCTTTAGAATTTGCCGCTAATGCTACTTCCAACTTGAAAGGCAGTGTGGTGTAGTGGTTAGTTTCAGACTAGATCTGGGAGACCCAGGTTCAAATCCCCACTCTGCCATGGAAGCTCATTGGTTGAGCTTGCACAAGTTACAGACTCTCAGCTCATCCTACCTCACAAGGTTGTTGTGAGGACAAAAATAGAGGCCAACAATGTAAACCACTTCGGGTTCGCATTGAGGAGAAAGATGGGGTATAAATGAAGTAAAGAAATTTCCAGTGTAACAAATCAGACTTGAAATACTCCTTCTAGGAAAGTCTGTAGGAGTTGGATGTCCCTTGGAGCTAATCTTGGTTCCCACATTAAGGACAGGGATGTGCTAGTGAGATGGTAGAAGGCTGAGGTGGTAGACTGGACCAAAACACAGCTGGGGGATTATTTTTTTCAGGCAAATAGGAAACACACAGGGAGAAAGGTTCTAATCCCTCTTTGCTCCCTGCACTGTTGTCACCTCTGCCCGGTTGCAGGGAGTTTCTATCATAGGGGGAGTGTTAAAAATGTGGTCCTCCCACTGCAGTGGTATATTCTGTTCAACCATGCCAGGTCCCTTCTTCATGTGTGATCCAACCCTTAAATTACAGCTAATACATTACTGCTCTGATTCTTGCAGTGACAAAAAATTGTTCATAAAACAGTGACACAACCACAGTTCCAGGGAAGCAAACCTGGATCAGTAATCCAAGCATACTTCAAATGACAATCAGAGACTGAAGATACGTACAGAACCGTAATCCCAGTGTACTTCATTAATTTAACACTTCTAGATTCTGGGACAGATGCAGATATTGTTGCTATAATACTGTGGTTTTACAAATCTTGAGATTTGGGATGGGGGGTGGGGAGTGTCTTGCTTCCCTGCTCCAGATTATTTGGATTATTCTGACATGTAGCAGAAATGCAAATTCGGAATGACAATGATGCTGGGAAACTCTTGGTCTGGATTTCTAGTGTTATGTAAATGAAGTGTCAAAAGGGAGTAACAGTTTCTCTTGGCTCTTGCAAACAAATGCCTTCAGTGTGGTCTCTGACACATGAACGTAAATGCACACAACAATGTTTGAGGGTGTTCACTGTATGTGAATCTGACCTTCAGGAACCATTTTTAGTTCATCAAAATTAGTGGTGCTGAGAAATCAGGACATTGGTGCATAATGACTGTGAAATTAGGAATGAGAATTTGCTATGCAAATGACAGGACAAATCATGTGAAAAAGTCAAGATAAACTGCATATTAAGACATTAGGTTACATAAAATTAATACTGCATCTCTTTCTTGCTTACCACTCTCCTGAAATTTTTTTTAAATCCTTTTATCTCCTGATCAGCTATTGTCTGCTGATTTTTAAAAACGTGATGCATTAAAATGTGCAAAACATGTTATTACCTTTTATTGTAATACATGAGATGACAGCAGATCCTTTTTAACAAAAGTATATCCTTTACTGCTTTTAGTTTTCTGCTGTCACCCATTTGAGCTGAAACTAAAGAAAAGTAAGGTTCTTAAATATTACTATTCAAGTCATATGAGTTTTTTATCTCCCCCCCCCCCCCCCAATCTATTGTAAGCCTTCCCTTTTTCTCTCTCATTTTCTGGTGGGGTTTCTAGCGAAATAGTCTTGTTGCATTACCGGAACTGACAAAATGGTTCTCATGTAGTCTGCAAATTAAACACAAGTGCAGTGATTATTTTGAATAGCTAAATTACATTCTAGAAAGCTTGCAGAATTCAAAGCATTGTCATTAGGTATCCGCTTGAATACAATTTGTGTAACCTTGGCCAAGACAGCCTGTCATTTTAATGTCAGTGTTTTATCTGAACAAGACATCATCCTTTCAGATACAGTGTACAGGTTCCTTGCAAAGATGCCCGTGCAGAAACGTGTTAACAGTTGCAAATATGAAATGCTATCAAGTTCATCACTGTAGCTGTTTGTCACTGAAATGTCATGGAAAGCGGCTTTTAATGGTATCTCACATAATACGAAAGAATTGAAGCCATCTGTATGCTAGGTGAATCTGGAATGGCAGCGACATCGTCGCAGGGACTCCGCTGCTAAAAATTGCTTGGGAGCAAGGTGCGGGTTTTCGATACCGCCGCGATTGTGTGTTCATTTGTTTCAAATCATTAAGTTCAGCCTCCCCAATGATTGCTTTGGAAGGGCTTTACTTATTAATTAACATAAAATTTGTTAGAATTGATGGTTGCCTCTAAAGGCACACAAATTGATGGTTCAATTTTCTCTGAAATTGTTTCTATTGCAAAATCTGAGTTGTGGGGGGGAGAGAAATGGAACGTGCTTAGAAGGTTGACATCGGAGTCCTTTTAACTAAACGAGACAGACCACTTTTAAAAGTCCAACCAAAGGTGAAGAAGGCACCGCAAGACAAAGGGGGAAACGCTTGAGTATCTCTGAAATGAACCGGCCGTATTGTCTTGAATGCGCAGAGGGGAAAGGGATATTAATAACTGTGTTTGAAGGAAGCTGTGCTCTGAGGGGCTTGCTATTTACACTCTGTTGGTGCTTTAGGTTCCAGTGTCAGTGGCTATGATGACACCTCAAGTTATCACTCCCCAGCAAATGCAGCAGATCCTCCAGCAGCAAGTCCTAACTCCACAGCAACTTCAGGTCCTGCTCCAGCAGCAGCAGGCACTCATGCTTCAGCAGGTAACTTGTTTCTTCCACAATGTGATAGCCGTAAGAGGACTGCCAGTTCAGACACTGTGCTTTTCCTCCAGGGAATGCCAAATAGCCAGGGGTCATTTCCTGCAGGAGCACACAGGAGTGGAGCTCCGGCAGTAAAGAGCCCAGGGGGCGGGCACATGCAACAAGCCCCACCCCCTGCTCCCAGCAGCCCTCAGTCAGAGCAAGAAGCAGCCAGATAAGCTGCAGAGCCCAGCCCCCAGTCCAAAACAGTCCAGTGGCACCTTTAAGACCAAGTGTTATTCAGGTACAGGCTCTCCCTCCTCTGCGAGGACAGATCTGCACGTTCCCCCCACCCCCAATAGCTAGCAATCCAAAACAGTCCAGTGAAGCCTGAGCGGTGGGTGTTGCCTTCTGACACACTTCCGGTGATGTCAGAGGGTGTAGCATATACAAGTAAGTTATGCTAATGAGTTATGCTAATGAGCTCCTGCACCTCTTTTTCTATGAAATGACCCCTGCAAATAGCCAGACATTCTCCTGTACGGAGTTGGGAGGGAACACTCTGTCCATACTGGCCCCTTCGCTAGTCGCGCTCCCTCTTCATTCTCGGCTATACATACGCTGGGTAATAGCTGCCTCCTCAGGTGCAACGTCTCAGATTGCTCTCTTTCACGTTCTAAGAGGTATGAGTGGGAACCCCAGATTCCAGTCTTCTGAGGCCTTTGTGCCAGGTAGAATGAGAATGGGCCTTCAAAATAACTAGAATACCTTTCGAAGAGCTCGAAAAAGAGATTTTGCTATGCACTTGAAAAATCCAGAGGTGCTTTGTCCTGCCTCTACCAGGAGTAGCTGTTCTGCTGTAACTAGCGGAAATAAACAAGAGAGCTAAAAGTGTTCTTTTTTTCTATCTCGTAGAACATCTGAGGAAGCACTATAAGAAAAAAGAACTAATAGGGCCTGTGCTGCATGTATTAATTACTGTTTATTATATGTATAGTCCTTAGAAGACAAGGCAACGTGCATGAGGTGGCTAGGCAGCCTGGTCTCAGGTTTGCTTAACCTCAGCAAAGTCACTGCATCCTGGGCCTTAAGACCATGCCCTACTACTCCCCTAGGGTAATTTTGCCGTGCCTTCAGTGATGTTGCCATCTGTTCACTTTTATTCTCCAAGCGTGCTATGGTCACCCTTTAGTAGAGTCATCTTTAACTTTTTTTAGGACATTACTTCTAGTCTTGACTTGCAAGGGCTGGCAGATACCTGGGGGCAACCAAAGCCATTCTTTCTTGGTGTAGTGTTCAAGAAGCCAAAGATAAACTGTGCAGAGGTCAGTAGAACCATATGTTAGGGGTGTTCTTTTTTTAAAAAAAAACAAAAACTTGTGATACATTCTGTGGGTTGCTATCTGCCTTTGCCAGGTATGCTGTGAATTATTCTCGAAGCCATCTATTGTGTGGCTTCCATATCCTGATGAGTTGCACAGGGTTAATTTATTAATGGTGCAGCAATGCTGAAGTCCACCGCAAGCCAATTGAGAGTGCTGGGCTTTTCACTTGTTTGCTCATTCATTAAATGGAATCCTTGAACCCGCTATCTGTCTGGAGAGACTGGGAAGGTGGGGGGGAGGGTCGGGAGCTCAGTGCCTATAGCAAACAACCCTTAGTATAGTACAATGCAACGCTGTTTTAGAACGCATGTATATGTTTCAAATACAGATTCACCAGGCTCTCCAGCAAGGGCATTTTAGCTTTGTTGTTCCAATCAAAGGTCATTCCTTGCCTTATTTTAATTAGTTTGTGTAGAAAACGGTATGTTTTTCATCAGTTCATTTTTTAGATGACTTTTCAAACGATAATGCCAAGAATAGTCAGTGTGCACTGAATTTATTGTCGAGTTTCAAACTAAAGGTCAGACCATTACAGATAAAAGGATGCTATTTTTCAAATCACAGTTTGTGTATTACACCAAAAAGGGGACCCTGAATTGGAGATCACACTTTGTTTCACTTAAGTCTCTCTCTCTTTTTTTCTTTCTTTCTTTGTAGCAGCAGCTTCAAGAATTCTACAAGAAACAACAGGAGCAGTTGCAGCTTCAACTTTTACAGCAACAACATGCTGGAAAACAACCTAAAGAGGTATGGGTAGCCCCCTCCCCCCCTGTAACATTTAAACTACAGGTCCTGAAGGAAAATATAGTGATTGCAAAACTGTCATTCATTTTATAAATGGTTGAGTGACTGAGTTGAATGGCTGAGTTGAATGTATCAGGTCCTGGCTGTTAGATTTAGACATCAGGGCTGTTTTTCTCTTTAGTTTTTTCCCCTCCTGTATGATGTTATGGCACTGCACTATACCTATGACATTATGTGAAAGAAGGCTTGTGAGACTTGAAATATTTTTACTTTAACTATTGTACTGTCCAAGAACTTTGTGCTTTTAAAAAAAAATGGCATAATGTTAAATGCAGGTTAGATATTTAACATAGTGTTGAGGTTGTACGCATATTTGCCCCAAACTATTTTCATGTGTCTCTCTCTTTCTCTAACCAGATGGGATATTGCATGTGCAAGTTGGTTGCATTTCTCCAGTGCAGACCTGCAGCAGAGTCTGTGCACATGTTGTATTGTCAGTTTTTCAGAAGGGGCTGGTGGTAGTAGCTGGAGTTAGTCCTTTTTCTCTTCACTGTCAAATGGGTGGATGGCCTGTCACCTTTCTGTAAGTGAAAGGGGCAAACTAGACAAGACAGGTGTGAGTGAGTTGCCCGCCAGGAACTCAGTTAAACTGTGCCATGGGGGCCTAGTTCTAGCCAGAACTTGTGTGAAGGAAGAAGGGATCCTGCCTTCTCCCCCATGCTGTATAATGGGCCTGCACATACCCCTTCCAGCACCATTTTGGGTCAGAAAAATAGCACAGGGAGCAAGGCACCACTGTGGTCCTGATCAGAACTGAGCCCCCTCACTGCACTTTAAAGGAGTTTCCACCCTGACCTGGATAGCCCAGGCAAGCCCAATCTCATCAGATATCAGACGCTAAGCAGGGCCTTGGATAGGAGTACTTGGATAGGAGACCTCCAAGGAATACCAGGACCAGGATATAAAGGTGGGCTATCGTAAGCCACCTCTCTGAAACAGCAAAGCCCCATTAGGGGTCACCAGAAGTCAGCTATGACTTCCAGATACACACACACACACACACACACAAATACAAAAAAAGGAGTTTCCAACAGGAAACTCCTTAAAGTAGCAGTGCTAATCCAGGGATGCCTGGTGTGTGGATCAGGGCCATTGGGTGCAATCAAGAGCAGGACGGGGATGCTGAAGGGTACTTTTACATGAGACATTTTTCTTGGGTGGTAATTGTCTCAGAATAGTTTTGGAAACTTCAGATTAGCCAGGAATGATGGTACCAGTGTATTGCACTTGCCTTAACCTCACTTGCTTTAGACCGCCTGAATTTGATTGTCAGGATCCAAAAAAGAAAAAAAGAAAAACCATCTCTCCATGGGGAAAGGAAGTGCAATTAATTTGTACTTGCAATTCCCTTTTCCCCACACAAAAAAAGGAAAACTTGTTTAGACTGTCCAGTGAAATGTCAGATGTGAAGCAGCCATGAAATTCATATAAATAATTGGTAAAGATGGATGAATCTCTGAAGTCCCGTTAACTCAGAAGAATTTAAGCACTGCTCACTTTCTCTGCATCTATGGCTACCTCTAGAACTGTGGTTTCAAAATATGTTCCAGGGGACCTTATGTTTCCCTGGAGGCTTACTGGAGGCTTCTCAGGTGAACGAGGATTCAAGGAAGACATTTTGTAAACAATTACTGATCGTCTCCTGGAATGCATTCCCGTGGGGCAATGTGTTCTAGGATTTACTTGCACTTCAGGTGAGTCAGCAGAAACAAGTTACCTCTACTGCAAAAGCTCTTGTTGCTTTAACTTCACCTCTTTTGGAGGCACAAGGACAAACTAAATTTGATGGCATCCATAGGTGTGCACTCGAAACATTTGAAAATGTTGTGAGTGCCTGATCCTTGTGCCCCCCCAGAACCTATTCAAGTGCTGGAGTGGCACTTGAAAAGGGGCTGGGGGAAACAGAATTGCCTGGTCCCACTGTGCTATGGGCTCGATCAGGATCAGGGCCATGTGACATCTTTAAACAGCCTGGCTTCAACTCTAAAATGGTGGCAAAATCTACAAGTTGGACCTGTGGATGTTGTAATGTTGACTTTGGCCCAGAGAGAGCTGGGCTTGCAAAGAGGATCTTTTATCTGAGCAGTGGAACCAACAAAACAATATCCAGTGTCTGAAAGCCATGAAAATGACAAAGCTTCAAGAATATGCTCTTAATTAGCAAAATCCAAGATGGAAAGTATTGGCTGAAAGTTGGTTATTTTGCTCTTTTGTAGTGTTAGCAACACTTGGAAAGTTGTACAGAAGTTCTTCTATCCTAAAAAAGCATTCCTGAAACTTTTTGAGCATTCTTTTCCACACACCTTCCACAAAAAAAAATGTTTTTTTGTACATCCTGCTATACCTTATTAATTTTGTATGGCATTGTCTTACAATTTAAAAACCGCAGATGTGTTCCTAGAAAAGAGAAGGTAGATTGTAGGAATATCCTGTAGTTATGAAAACTTATTTCCATAGTTTATGAATGCTGTTTCCCATTGTTGCAAAACGCTATATGATGGTCCCTGCCACACGGCAGGGAAAAGGATGACTGACTAATCAGACTAATCTGACTAATCAGAGCCGCCCAAAGTTGAGACGCCGTGGCGGGATCCCACGGATCCCCCTAGCCGCGGTGCGTCGCTCCCCGGCACGATCAGATGCCAGGGAGGAAGAGTCTGATGAGAGGGGGAGGCTGCCGAACTGCGCATACTCGAGCATGCGCAGTATGGCTGGGGGCCGGGATGCACCGACGCAAGGACGCGCTGGCCGATCCCACTGCCTGGCTTGAGGCGCTGTACTGGATACAACCACATAGGTAGGTGGTTCTTTTTTAGTGCGCATTATCGGAGGTTGGGATGGATCTGGGACGGGCAGGCAACGATTCCCAGATGTTGCCGTGGGATCGCGCCCGTTTGCTCCGCCCCCATTCCGTCCACGGCCCTGCCGGCCCAAACCGCCTCGTATGAACAGGGCCGATGTCCTTCTGTTGTGGCCCTAACACAAAATGGCTCTGTGTCGATGCAGTGGTTGCGCTGCACTTAAGCATGTGTGCCAAAATTGGTCCAACTAGTTTCTTAGCCACCAACATCTCTTCCCCTCACCCCAGTCTCTTTTATTGTACAAACCCCAAGTTTGTACAATAAAAGGGTCAGCAAGGTGTAGTAGTTAAGAGTGGTGGACTCTAAACTGGAGAACTGGGTTTGATTCCCTGTTCCACCACATGAAACCTGCTGGGTGATCTTGGGCCAGTCACAGTTCTCTCAGAACTCTCTCAGCCCTACGTACCTCACAAGGTGCCTTTTGTGAGAAGAGGAACAGAAAGGTGATTGTAAGCCGTTTTGAGACTCTATAGGGTACAGAAAAGTGTGGTATAAAAACCAACTCCCCTTCTTCTTTAAGAAAAATGTGGATTTTTATAGCAGAGTTCTGAAAATTGGGGGGGGGGGCATAATAGGAAACGCTGACACAAACCTTAACTATAGCCCACTAACAGGCACCACTATAATAAAAAAGGGAACAGATTAAAAAATGTCTAAAATGTAAATCTAAAGGACTAACAGTAATTAAAATGGAAATGGCACAGGGAGGGAAAGGCATGTAATTGTGAGATATCACTGAGCAGAATGCTCTCAGCTTTGTTTTGCTGGCTGTTTTTCTAATTCAGTAGGGCTTACTCATCAGTGGCAGTTCAATGCGCGTTAATGACTCTGGGATGCAGGCATCACTCTGGACAAAGAAATGATTATTGTGCGGTCAAAAGAAGTTCAAAGACAAGAAGGGAATTTCAGTTTTTTCCCCCCTTAGAGATCCACATTCAAGAGCATATAAATTAAGCCAAATGTTAAAAACCACAGTCTGAAAGCTGACTTCAAAGTCACAACTCTCTAATTAATGAACTGCGAGCTTCAGTTTGGACAAGTCGGTGGTTTGATGCGCCCATAAATCAACATGACAGGTCTGTTTCACAGTCTCAGACAGTGCTTGTCATTGAGTCGCATCAGATGTAAACACAGCAGAAAAAAAAAGAGGGAATATGAAGGAGGTGCAATTGATCAACAGAATTGGTAAAAACCCACTTTTGAAGCGCATTATGCATGATCACAGGAAATGGCTATAGCCTCAAGAGGCTTTCTCTCCTTCTGCTGTTGCTTTTTTGAATCAGATTTCTAACAACCTTCAAAAGGGAGAATAAGAATTATGGAGCTTCTCCCCTGTGGCTGCCAGGCAATAACCCCCTGTTGTTATTTTGTGCTTCTTTCTTTTCAAAGGCGTCAAATTTTAGTTTTTTAAAGATCTTTAACTCTATATTTGAAGACAAACAATAAAGGGCTGCCACTGTCATTCTTATCAGTTACCAGGGATTGTATTTTTTTTCTTTCTGTTGCCACTTCTTATTAACCTCTTATTTGGTCTATTAGACATAGTTTTGAATGCAAGCCTGCATGCTGGGAGAACATGAAAGTTCAGATGAGCTCAGAGGGCAGATAAAGAAATTTGAAGGGGAAAGTTACACAGCAGAATGAACGATAAAAGTTAACTCTTCTAAATTGCTGTTGTCAGACAGGAGAGCGTGTCTGACACAAAGATGATGGCTCAGAATGGGGAAAAATACTTTTGCCTTTTTAAAAAATGGCAAGAAGGGAACTTGGACAATGTGATGGCATTTCAATATCTTACACAACTGATTTACTGTGGTCTCAGCTTCTGATGTCGCAGTATCCAGAGTTACAATATGGTCTCCTTAAGATGTGGATTATAACGTGATAGATGTAAAACAGTTCTAGGGGCCAGGACCCTTTTGCTTTTTTACTGGATTGACTTTTTTTTTTTTAATTAACCAGATGGTTTTAATAGAGGCCTGTTTCAAACAATGGATTTCAGACCTCTCCTCTGAAGTTAGAGAGGTGGCATTATTAAATTGGTATTCAGCTGGTGGTCTGCCTGTGTCTGTGCATGTGTAT